GGTGTGTGTGTGGTCTGGTGCGCCTGTACGGGGACTGTGTGTGTGTGTGCAAACGCATGTGTGTGCACGTGCAGCGCGCCTCCCCGCGCAGACCCCAGGCCCCGCGCAGCCCCGCGCCGCGTACCCGGAAGTGGCTGTCGCGGGCAGCGCCCTTGGCCACGTACATCCGGCTGCGCTCGGGCTGCAGGTGCTCGTAGAAGGGCTCGTCCAGGGCGAAGCTGTCGACGAGGTCGCAGCCCACATACAGGCTGTAGGTCTCGCCGGCCACCTGCACCGTGACGTTCTTCCAGCGGGAGTCGGCCAGGCCCACGTCCTCCAGGGACAGCACGTGCCGCGCGCCGTCGGCCCAGTAGGTGAGGTCCAGGGTGTCGGCCGGGCCGTTGGAGACGATCTCGAACTGCCGCTGCGCCTCGCCGGGGCCGAGCAGCGCCAGCAGCGTGCCGCGCGTCTTGCGGTCCTGCCGGAGCTGCGCCGAGAGGAAGAAGCCGTCGCGCCGCCGCGACAGCGCCGCGATCCTGCGCAGCGCGTCGGCGCCCACGGGCGGCAGCTGGTCGAAGCGCACGAAGCGGTAGGCGGGCGTGCCGGGGTCGGGGCCGCGGAACTGCTTGGCGCCGATGGTCTTGCGGTTGATGTTGCTGAGGCTGAGCAGGTCGAAGGCGGCGTCCTCGTCCTGGCCGGCGGCTGCGCGACAGCAGCGGGTTAGACGCGGACCGCGCGGCCTGTCAGCTCCTCTCCCTGCGCAAAAGCGCCGCGCGGGTGCGGGGCCACCTGCTCCCCTTCCCCGCCACCTGCTCCCCTTCCCCGCGGTGTGGGGACACCTGCTCCCCTTCCCCGCGGTGCGGGGCCACCTGCTCCCTGCCCCCCGGGAGCGCCTTCACCGCGAGCGCCCCAGGCCGGATCCGGGGCCAGGAAGCAACGTCGCCCGGGGACACAGGTGCCGGGACCCAGGTGCGGGGACCCAGGTGCCGGGACCCAGGTGCGGGGACGCAGGTGCGGGGGACCCAGGTGCCGGGACCCAGGTGCGGGGAC